ACCAAAGCTCATACGGATGGGACCCTTTTGGAGTGCTCCCTGCGTTGCTCTGACAGAGCTCTGAATGTGCTCGCTCAACGAGGCGAACCACTACTAAGACCATCTATGCCATTCATGCCCGAGCGATCTTAGACTGGTTGTCAAACTTTAGAAGTCATTCGGCAAGGACTGGTCGGCCACCGATCTCTCCTGCTAAATCTGCACCAAACTGCAAAAGTGAAGCTACTGCATGAGACAAGCTCAATGTGACGAGGTCCAACAAGAAAATCAATCGCCGATCGCTGCCACCGCTGAAATTATGTGGGCAACTGTACACACACGTCCCTGTGGGTCAAAATAGGGCCCCTTTACTTCGGCTTGTAACCACGAATGTTTCACTTTGACTCATCCTACGAACTCTTGCAACAACTTGGCATCCCTTCAAATTCATTTGTGGAGGCTCTGAAGCAACAGCCACGAAGGGGCATGCATTGCAATCTTCGGAATTGTTGGCCGCCGCGGCATCTTTGCGCGGGACGCACGGGACAGCCTCTCGAGAGAGTCGATCATTGGTAAAAAGCTTTGTCACCTCAGGCTGCGCGATCGGCCAATGTGCAGCGAAGTGCAATCAACGGGATACACTTCACTGCCCAAAGCATTGCTTGAACCACCAGGCGCAGGGGAAACAATCAAATTCACCATACATCAGAGAGCTTTTATAAAGTACTTCAGAAACCCAAACGGAAAGGCAACGTGGTGTTCACCCAAGACACAAACCAACTTGTTCGAAAACACATGAATGACTTCAAGCCCATGTTCTGCAAACGTCAGCCTGTGCATGGCGCTGGTGGTCCTGGCCCCCTCACTAGGAACCGTGGCATTGGCGTCCAAATTCCCAACACAATTCCATGATCTTCCCACCAACCCCAAGACAAAGGGGCTTTCGACCATGGCACATATGCGATTTGCACGTCAGCAAGACGGCGAAATCCTGAGTCGGGAGCGTAAGCAGTGCCTTCCTTTGCATGTTTGTCCAAGACCTGCGAAGTGCGCAGGTCAAAATCAGCTCACGCCACGTCTGTTGTCGAAGTGAATCAAATCCATGATTCCAAATCTGACATAAGGGATCTCCAAGTAAAGGACTTACATCATGGTAAGCGCTTTTGACCCACAGGTGAGCTTGCCATAAAATAGGCAGACAAAACAAGTATATAATTCTGAGATTTGTGCAGCATCTGAATGGATACACTGTAGGCGTACCCGTCAGGACAGATAAAGCAAAACAGGACGAAACGGCCATGTGTTTTTGTCAAGGCTACTCATTTTGGAGTTGGCTGCAAGGAAAACCAACAGATTGGGGGTCCTCCTAGTTCATTTGACACATACCCAAGTGTGCTTCCATGAGGACCAAATAAGAGCGTAGTTCAAGAGCACCATGCATGTGGCCCCTGCAAGAGAACCCCTCCTCCGCTCCTCACTAACAATACATGCATGATCTGTGCATTTTTGATCAGCAGCTTCAACCTAAGCAAAAGCTGTCAAAGCCCTTGAATGGGCCAGGGTCGTGCTTGCATTCATTGGATCTCTTGCAACTGTGAAGTACCCCGCAAACATAGTATGAGTTTGTTCTTTGTTTGAGGGTATCCTTTCCAGGTTGGATTAAATGGACACCAATCGCAAACCACTCATTTTGGGGGTCCCTTATCTTGACACATGTGTATATATATATATAATACGTAGGACCACCCACTACCGTGAGGTTAGAGCACGTCGACTGCCCATGGCTTTGACACTTCTTGTTCTTGACACCTCCGAGCCAGTCTTTTCAATCGTAGTCCCAACAACCCCGCAAGGGGAAGGGGTCGAAATGGGGATTTGGACCCAAAATGGTCGTCCTGTTGGCTTCCCTTTAAACCAACCCAGCCTAACAAAGCACACACCACCCAAAACAACGACAACCATCAAAAACACTACCCCCAAAACCAACGCCTCCACCCCCGCCCCGATGCCCCGGCACAAATGATCACGAAACCCAACATTGGGGTCTCTGAGGTGGCCACGAAGGTCTTTGGCTCCGCCAGCTGCTGGTTCTGCGCGAATTCGAGGTACCCTTCGGGTCATTTAGTGGGAAACCAAGAGGAAACATGGATATGAACTTCAAGTGGTTGGACCCCGGTAGACATCAAATTCCGAGATTTGCGTCCAACCACTTTTGAGGAGTCCCCATTTAAAACTCCATTGCTCAAAATCAGGGCCTTTGTGGTACGCCTTTGCAAGGCGGCAAAAAAGGCAGCACCAGGGGCCAAAACGGAACCGGCCATATTTTTGGCAACACCCCAATCAACCTGGTAGATTAATGTGGGGTGTTTCCCAAAAAAAGGTGAAGAGTTCCCTCTAAATTTGAACACCTCCTATTCATCAACCATGGGGGTAGCAATCATGCGTTCCCATTAAGTCCGTTCAAAACACAAAGCCAGCAAGCGTCCAGCTCTACAATTGCCAGGCAGAAGACTCATTGAATTCGTCACAAAGGTGGGAGCATGCGCTCACTCTTTGAGGTGGATGCGACATACTACGGATCATGAAACAAGTTGAGCATATAATACATGCTCAAAGACACATACTGACGAGCAAACAATATTTCTCTAACCAACAAAATCAGGATAGCAAAACATGTGCCTGGTCCCCCACGTCTTGCTACATGAGCATTTGCCTGCAACGAACTGCCACCCAACCTTGGTGCCACTTTCGCGGAGAAACCTGGGGCTGACTGGGGACTTTGCAAAGGCCCCGTGTCGTGGCACTGAAGCTGGGGTTGGGCGGTTGGCCCTTTCATGCTGAAACCGCTGTCTAGCCATCTGTATTGAAGGGGTCCAGGGGATGGTCAATTCAAGCAAATGCTCTGCCCAACCCTACACCAAGGTACCACTGAACGAAACAGCGGCAACTGCGAACGATCCATGAGCTTGTGCACGTCTGTTCGGAAGTGATGTGTCAAGAATCCATTGTCGGCCTTGATAGCTGTCAACATAGAACCGGCCATCTTGCAGATCTGACAGCCATGTACCTACGAATTCAGCATCACAAGTTCCAAATTATCATACACTACCTCTACCTGCGTACCAAGATGGTTTCCACTACCCCTACATACCCCCACACCACTCGGTTTCATTAGTGATTTAGTGGGATGTAAATCCACTATGTATACATCTAATGAAACTCCTGGGGGCAGCTTCGATTTGGGGGTAGGGGGAACAATCTTAGATTCAATATGACCCATTGCCAAATCGCATCCTCGGCTCTGCCTCGGTTTGGAGCGAAGGCTCAATCTCCGCTTGAAGCAGCATTCCTGCTGCCGAGAACCGTTCCAATGGACATGTCTGCTATGATCAAGACTCCTTATGTAGATGACCCGTTGAAAAGGTTTTAACGAATGGGTGAGGATTTTGGACATGGGAAGAAGCAATTGTGAGGGGGTGGGGGGCTGAGGATAGGAACCTTTATAATTGTCTAAAGCTTAAACCCTACAAACAATTTCATGACCAACCCCAGGAAAGTACAGCTCTAGCTATGAGCGGTAACCTAAAATTATTGGCAAGTTGGGTTTGCCTCACCCGGATCTACAAGTGGGTGTTCCTCTTGGTTTGCCTTCAAACCACCCAAAATGATACCCTCAAACAAGTACAGTACCCTGATTTACAAATAGGGGTCCCATCTAAGAGGAAACCTCCAGTTTTTGCTGCAACACCCCCCTAATCATCAACCATTTTGACTACTCTGCGGTTGGTGTTTCAAAGCTGCGCTCCTGATATCAAATTGGCGCCACCTTCTCTTTGGGCATTCTAGGCTTTTCGATAAGATTTGTGACCGATATGCAAGTCTTCAGAAATGCTGCACACCTTGCCTCCAGCCACCTGCTATCCTGAACATTCGATCCATAGTCAAATCCTAGTTGTAAAGTGGTCCACCCAAAACAGAACTAGTGGAAAGAATACAAAGGGTAGCCGCCCACATTCAGACCTTCCACTTACGGCCGATGCCTGCCCAGCCTCCGTTCAATCTGCCATTCTACAATATTCGCAAAAGACATGGCAGCAGAACCACTTGCCAGTATGCATCTCTCCTGGAGCGGCCGTGGATCATGGCATTGCAAGTCGGACTACAGCCATGCTCCTTCGGAGCACGGCGAGTTTGGGGGCGGGGGCAAAGCTGCTAGTCTTCACTGAACCCTGCCACCTTAGTTGCTACCTTGCTTGCTTTGCCTCGCAAAGGAGTCACCAACTCGAAGGGTGCCGTGGTGCTTGTTCCGCCATGACATGTGAGCCTGGACGGCGGCTTCGCAAAAATGCTGCTGCGGCCCGCGGTGCAAGGATAGAAAAAAGAAAACTAAAGAGGTAGCCAGCGAGACACCTTGCAAATGCCTGCACCTGAAGTTTGGTCGTTTAAGGCTTGAACAATCCTTAAGTAAGGCATCAAATTTGCAAGCGATCGGAACTACAATTACTAGACCCACCTACCAAATGATTTAAATGTTGCAATCTTCTCCGTGCCTGGGTATGGCCCAAGTTGAAAAGACGGGCATGAGCTATATGATATGCCCATGATCCACCCAGCTGGCTCTGGTGGATTTGGGGCCAAGAAAAGTACCAGCTGAAGTGAAGAGCGCCTTCATGAAAGGGGTAAACCGTCCCCACCTGCCATCAACCACGGATTTATCAGGGTTCCCCCGCCTTAATTAACGGGGAATCCTGCAACTTGATTTGTCAAATAGGGGGAACTCTTGTTGATTCGTGGCGTTCCCCTCAGATCAACGTGAACACTGAAAAATCAGCTCCCCGCTAATTTGTGGTTTGGATTGGTGATTTGGAGGTTCGGTGGTGTTTTTCCCTTTACCCCCTACCAGAACCAAACTCACCACCAATTTCAATGACAATTTGGGGCTGCCTGAGAAAATAAACCCCACAAATAATACATTTTGGTCCCAAACCTACGAAACAAAAGGGCCGCCGCTCTCCTCTTTTCACGTCTGTGTTTCTGAGCCAGCCGGTCAGCTGGGAAAATCGTGAAGGCTCAGCACCTGCGAGAGACCCCGGGAGTGACATGCTGAACAAATGTCCCGCGTGGTTCAACAAGGCACATGCCAACCAAAACTTCTAAATGAACAGCCCTAAAATTCCAACCACTTGAGTGCGGGGCCATGCAAAGGACCTCGGGATTCTACACGAATAGGCAGCCCTTGAAGCACTGACTCGGTTAGCAAAGCCTCAGCCCTGGGCCTGGCGAATGCGACTCGTAAGAACGGCAGCTAGACAAAACGCCTCGTCCGTTGATCAGAGTCCGAGCATTGGTCTACAAGACATCTCAAGGGGTTGATAAGTATCACTCGGTTCTCCAAGGCAAAGATATCTTCTTGTTTTGTCCGTGGTACACATGGTCTGACATGTTTGGCACTAGGTGTGTCCTGCGACTGAACACTTGAACTGAGCTTCTCAAAACCTGACGTAAATTTGACCTTGTTCATGAACTCGGGGCCAAACCGGGCATGCGCGCCAGGTAAGGCCTCATCCACCCGACAATCTCTCCATCAGGCGATCAGCCTCCCGCGCGTACCTCCACCAACAAGCTGGGGCTCCCGCTTTTTGGGGCGGCTCCAAAAAATTGCAAGGGAAGCAAACGAAGACTCACTGTGAGATTAGCCCACTGTGCGTGTCTCTCAACATCAAGAAAAGGGGCTCACCAAACAAAAAAGAGGTGTTCCTTCGCTCTGTCGCGGGTGGCGCTAGGCTATTGTGCGGGGCGCGGCGCTCGCCGAAAGATCAATGTACAACTCGCGGTACCTAACATGCATTAAAGCCCTTCGGTCGCCGCAAGGTGGGCGGCCATTGCTCACGGGGTGAACGAGGTCAGGCCGACAATTCAACGAAACAGCATGTTGAACGCAGTACTGGCCAGATGCCTGTGGCCAGCCATCGTCATGACGAACCTCAACAGGAACGTGCAATAGGGCGAGTGTGGTCCATGTCATGCAATGAGCACAGCCTCGTTACCTACAAGGGAGCAGCTCAATTGAGCCGGTTGAAAAGCCGAAGATATAGCTGCGGCCCTAAAGAGTGAAAGGAGTGTTGCACAGAGCGAGCACAATGGTGCTATGCAACTATATTGTACGCCAAGTCCGCCACCACTTTGACCACACTGCCTGCGCAACTCACCCAAAGGCTCCACGACCAGAGTACTGCAGCTGGGTCAAAGCCTGGATCCTACCAAAAAACTTGCATCATGCGCTGCAAGGCAGTACCAGGGGGCAAATCAGTTGGGAGGCCTTCCGCGCCATCAGAATCACTGACACGGGAGCATGGCCGCAACAAATTAGCAGCCACCAGAGAGCGTCAAAGCTCCGACTGCTGTACCCCACTAAAGTCAGTGATAAGTGATATCCTCTGCGAAGTCAAAAGATTTAAACGCAAGCACTGAAGAGCCAACTGATGGCCTCCTCTCACAGAGTGCAGCGCTTCAAAATGGACCAGTGACCGAGCCTCATATATCGAAGTTTCTCAAAATAGGGGTCAATTTCCTAGAATGCAGCGCTGCGAGGGCTCCCTTTTGGCCTCCCATTAAATACCAGCTAAAAGAAGATCACCATTTGCTTTTGTGTCAAAAAAGGGGGGCCCCTCAAAATGCAGGGTTTCCTTTTGGCTATGCGAACCAACCCAAAGTGGTAGCCTCCAAACAAGCATCCCTGACGAGAAACTGCCATCCGTTCGATCTCGATCGAACCGATCACTTGCTGCCCTTCACCAAGCCGTAGTTGGAGCGTCTGGCTCTCGGGTCTGGCAGGTCCTAAGCAACACGCCGCTCCGCTCGGTGGACAGCGCATTCGGCCAGTTGTCAATAGATGGGTGTAGCGCCTTTCTTCCGAGCATCGGCACCCTTCTTGAGATTGCGTTTCCTGAGGGAAACCAAAAAACAAGCCAACATTCTTGGGGTTCCGCCGTTTTTACACACGTACCCAAATGGCACAATTCTATCCCATTTCGGTTGCTCGTCATCCCCATCCGTGGAACACCATTACAACAAGGGAAACCACTATCAACTTGGCACAAGGATCAACTTGACGGGAAAGGGACCCTGTTCGAGAGCCAAGAACACATGCAAAGACCCATGGTGCACCATGCCAACAGTGGGTTTTGTTGCAGGACGGCTCCAAGAAGGGTGCACCAGATTGGACGATATCGATTGGCTACTTAGGGGTTTGACATCCAAAAACTCCGGGAACGATTGGCACGCGAGGCGTCTTGCAATCGCACCTTGATAGGCCCTTTCATCTCCACCAACTGGGAAGTGAAGTCAGGGTGTAGGTTATACAATATCCTTGGCCTTTCGCCCAAGTTGAAGCATGGGAAGTGCATAACAAAGGCATTTCCCCGATGGATTTGGGAATGTATGGGAATGTTCATTCCATGCTAAACCTGCCAGATTGGAGAGCATTTCAAAGGACATGATGTCACACTCTACCTGAGAAGCTGGCACCAGTGGGTGTCCCGTGGTTGAGGTATGCGCCACCTGACAAGCCGAGGGCGAAATTGGCAAACGGAACAATTCAAAACATGGCCAGAGTGATGCGCAAGCCCCCCAAAAAAGACACGAGACACGGTCAGAGTACTTGCTTCGCCGAGAGGAAATTGGCCCCATGTCCTTAAACGGGCCATAGACAACTCGACATTTCGACCAAGCTTCACACAAAAGGATCCCTGACTAACCGTTAACCATTTGCCACAGATGTGGCCCTGGCTGTCATCCACCAGCACGAAGCTGCCGAAGTCTGGGGGGGCCCAAACCAGCTTGAAAGCAATGCGCGACCTGCCAGGCGTTCAGTCAGATGTCCACTGGCAGAATTCCTGGAACATCGATGGATTCCACTGGGAAAAGTACCCAGAATTCTAGAAAATAAATGACAGTGGTAAACGAACAGGAACCACAATGAAATCTTCCAACTTGGCTCAGGCCAGCTCCCCAAAACCAGCCCGGCCGAGACCCGCAGACTCAGATGTTCCGGGCCTGAACTGCACGTGTGCCACATCCTGGCAGCGACAATAAAACCCGAGAGCAAAGGGCAATAACTCGGCCCACATCTGGTGGTACCCCCAAATAATGTTCAGCTGGTCCATACCCCAGGTAAAGGAAAAGGGAACCAAACCAAACTTTTGCTCTTGTAAGGAGCTGCACTGATGTTTCTGACACGGCCTTCCTCAGGTGCCTAAGGGCAGCTGCAACGCACTTCCCGCTCCTCCAAACACTAAAGGCAAAGATGTGGCTTCTTGCTGCTCTCCTTTTTGTAGCCCAGATTCACCATTCCCACTTTTGACTGCACGCCTGGGGCGGATCAAAGTGGCAGCCGTTGGTACAGGTGCCTGAGCCGGGCGCAGCGGCGTCGCTTGGCGCGTCTAATTGGCTTTCAGGGCTGGGTCACAAACCCCTTTCTAAGCAAAACAAGGCGCTCCAGCGCCTTTCTTGGGGGCGAGTGTATCATTCCATCCTCAGGTGCAGATCTGGCATGGGACCTGGAATTACTTGCCAATGAAAGCCCTAAGCAAAATCTATTAACACGCAATCAATTGAGGGAGATGTTTCACAAACGAGCTTTGGTGAATGGCATAAAGAGTTTCAATGTGAATGGCGCAAGCCCCCCTCCCACCGAATTACCTTCACTCCTTTGTCAGTCGTTGGTGGATGTCACCGAATTTCCTTCACTCATTCTTTCAGTCTTGGTGCGCCGAATTACCTTCCTCATCACCTGGCCTCAACCCTTCACCAGCACATAGTCTGCTGGGAAGGCCAACAGTATGCAAATTGCCGCCTCTGCTCTCCTTGCGTGGCGCAGCTTAGGCCTTGCACTTTTGGCAGGTGACAGGTCCCAGAAGCATAGCCGTAGTACCACAACTAAACAATCGCGAGGAACCTTCAATGCTTCTTTGGCTTCTTAGCTTCTTTGCAAATGGTTTCCTGTCGTTCTGCCCTACCTTCTTGCCTTTTGGCTTGGGATTGCAGCTCTTTCGCCGTGCAAGTTGCTTTTGATTCTGCATCCGAAATTTGCCTCCTAGGTGGCCGCCCCAGTTGCGCACTCCCTACTCAGCACGGGGTGGGCGGGGCCGGTACATGTTGATGATGCAGATGGTCCAAGACCTAGCAGGAGGCATGTTCATGCGACAGGACTTTCCTCCTCCCGCATGGCACCAATCCTGGACACATCCTTGGTTTTTTGCACTCTGAAACGCAGCCACGAAACCACCCATTCGGAAGACTTGTGTCATTTTAGTGACACACACACACACACACTCGTGCGCGCTTAGTCACATAGCAATTTGCAATTGGCTGGGCCGCGCAGACATCCGGTTCAGTCCGGCAAATCGGGCAGAAGTGCTTTAACTTCCAGTAAAGCAGCGCCCTGCTGCCACTGATTGCCTGGACGAAGCTGTTTCGGTAGTATAGATAGTATTCCTGTCGAACATGGGATCGAGCTCATACCTTGAGCTATAACAGCAAAACTGAGCAAACGCTGTGTGCACAGAGCTTTGCTAGACAGGAGAGACCTCATGAACATACCCAGCTGGAACTGCAAAAGGAACTAGCTTCGCACTCAAATATGGCGCCTTGCAACAATCCCAAAACACCCACAATTTTCTGGGTCGCGAGGGTGCGCGCACGCGCGCGAAATGAGAAAAACCAATGAAATGTGGCTTTCGATGATCAAAGGTTCCCAGGCGGCTTGCGCGCGCAACATGAGAACCAAAATTGCGCACAGGGCATTCAATGGTCAACCACCCGACTGTCAAAGCGCAGCCACATATCGCACGTGAAACAAGTGGTCTAAAGATGCCTGAAGATGTGTTCCGAACCTGTCCAAGACCGCTTCCGTCGCAAGCGGGTTGCACAGTAGGGAACGTCTGCCAAAGATTTAGCTTCTCAGCCTGCCTGGTCTGATGATTTGTTCAGGAACGGATTACTTTGAGGAGTTTAGGTGTGTGGGCATATCTGTCCAGCATGGACCCACCCGACTACCCAGCACGTGTGCGTAAAGGCACACCCCGTGTCTGAGAAGATTTTTTGTATATGCACATGTGATAATTCAATATACTGCTAATATACTGCTCCTTTGCGGAATGTCAGCTTCAGTGTGTGGTGGCATGGTGGGTCACCCTCGTGCTTCGGCCTCGGGGTCTTAAATGTTCACTTAGGTTCCGGCCTCAAAAGTAAAACTGCAACTACCATCTTGGAAGGGAACACATCACTAGTCCAAGCGGCCGGTTTGGCCTCTGACTGACCAATTAACCGTTTTCTTTGCATGTGGACTGTTTCTCGCAGGTGAGGTGTCAAGTATGAATGAGCAAGCACCTCTAGTTTTCAGCGCGTACGCAAGCGTAGACACAGCCCCACAAACACCTCCAAGTTCCCCAGGTTGACCAAAGTCAACGCCCATCAATGGGTTGCGAGCAAGTCGAAGGGTACTCTCCGCTGCAGCCCTCGACTTTTCCTTCCCTACAGTGGGGTCGTGCCTCGTGTTCACTTGCTCAACGCGATCATCCCCGGCAGAGATCTCGTGCTTGAACGGCTTGTCCTTAGTGAGGTCACCTTGGATTCTTTGGTTCATCACGTTTCGCTTCGCATCCGTATCAACCGACATGATTTCCACCTTGATGCCCCACATGGCTGCCTTTTGCTCCTTGGAGCCCGAGGAACGACGCAGAAAGACGAAGACCCTGGACTTGAGGCGCGCCGGCACATCTTCATCTACTTCCACACGGGGTTTCGAACCTTGCGCTGCGATCATTGGGCTCTCCGCAGGGCTTCAACTTACATTCCCTCCCTTTCCTTGCCTTCGTTGGGGACGCTCCGCATCTTCCCGCCCCGAGTGTCTCCTTCGCTTTTGCGGGTTCCTCCTCCTGACGCTGAGGTCCTTTGCCTCTCCCAGCGTCTGGTCGTCCTTGAGCCAAACTGGCACGCAACCCATCTCCACCCTGGCCTGCAAATGTGTCATGCACCTATTCATTTCGCAAGCTGCACTCATAGGTTTTACAAGCGTTCAACCTTCAGCAGATTCACGATTCCGCATCAAGCCAATTAGGAGAACACCCCAATGGACATGCCCTGGAAACCAAACGTGCCCCGCCTCCGCGCAGCCCAAACGGTCTTTAACAGGGGTGCTGGTATTCCGGCACTAATTATTTGAGGGAGATTGAAGGAGAACCCTTGACTGTAGAACTTTAGATGACAATGAAACTGCAATGCCTGATCTTTCTGTCGGCCTGTCCTTTTGATATCCTTGTTGGTCTTGCTTTGACTCTCAAAGCTGGAACCGCTGAGTGGAAACAACTTTTGCCCAAAGATGGTCAGGAGCCCCAGCACAACACCAGGGCACACCCAAGGGCCACACGCAAGGACACCAGGACCCCGTATTTGAGTTCCATGTGGCTGTGAATCCTAGTCGGAGGCTACCTCAAAAGTGGACATGAACCCCCACCTTCGTTTGTCCGCCAAATCCAAGAAGGACCCATGAAAATCCACCATATTCATGGTCCCAAAAACCATTTGTTCCACGTCCCACTGCAAAATGGACATGCGCTACACTGATCCGTGGGATTTGACGGTCTTGGTGCCAGACTCCAAGAGCCCCCAACGCCCAACTCCGGAAGGCTCGCGATCTCGATGCCCGGGCCTGTTGAAATTCGACGGGCTGATTCCTTTTCCATTTTCTTCAGCCATCGTTCTTTTCAAAAACCAGCCATTTCGCCAGGTTTTCTAGAAAGAAGGATCCCTGGAAAGAATGAGGAAGTTACCCCTGGAGACATGCTCCTTATGTAGGGGAATTTGCAAAAACGGATGGCTTGAAGGAAAAGAGAAGGACAAGCTCCATGTTTAGGGGGGTCCCCTTTTTGAGGAGCACATAGAAGAGCCAGTGTGAAACTACGAATGTTGCTCCAAGAGGACATTGGACACCTGGTGAGTCTCATGGTTGTTGGAAACTTGGTGAGTTCCCCGGTCCCTCCCAAATAACCCATGGCATTTTGACAAAACCTCACTATCATGTGCCAGTCATGTCTGATATACTATTCAGCATTGCATAGTGAGTGACAACCAAATCAGCTCTAATTAGTAGTGATTGTACTTGTAGCAGTGTACTTGTGCTGGTATACTTCAAGCGGGAGGAGTCAGTAATATGGTTCATTCCGTGTGGTATGGTGCTTCATACTAAAATAAAGCTAGAAGCTGCAACTGCCAGTTGGAGATATTGGAATTTGATCAGGCGATCGAGACAGCCGATTGACAAAGGCTGGATTGTGGAGGCACAAGTGGCCAAATCCGTCAGGAATATCAAGCAAGGTAAAACCAAATACACATAGTTCAACATGATCAGGTATGCAACTACACAGTATTCGGTAACCCGCAACAAAGGAATCATTCCCCTCAGCCAACTGGCATTTTGGAAACGGCTTTTGAGGAGCCCATGTAATGTGCTATCCGACTAAGTAAGGGCCCTCTCAAGTCTCGTATCTGCTTTTGGGTTCTTTAGTCTCCAAACCAGAGTCTGATCAAGGACACAAGTCATGCTCTGTGGAAACTCTCAAAGCATGGAGAGGACCGCGAAATGAGGTCCCTTAGGACTGGAATCATACTCAGCCAAGGGCCAAACCTTGTCAGGGTTCCCTACACGTCTCTAAGCATCAACGTTCCAAAAGAAAACTCACTTGTTAATTAAGACCCCCCCGACGTAGAGTCTCAACACATATTGGTGCGTGTTCGTTTAATTATCCCCATCTCGAAGCATCCCTGCGCAGGCCTAGCCGATTGCCCATGGCGATCCCGCGAATCTCCCCGCCATGGAGATTGTGGGCAACCTGCGCGTCGAAACGGTTGCCACGAAGAAGCGAAGAACGAGAAGGAAAAAGCCACTGGGCACCTTGGGGTTGCTCCCATTCGCATCGATCGTAGCTGAGAACTTGGCCCCTGGGAATTGAAAATAAAAGGATCCGTTCCAAAAATGACCTACCGGACGGTAGTTTGGTCACTTTGAGGTTGGAAGCAGCCCTGCCCAACTTTAAAAGAGGAACCCTGTCAGAGACTTATTGCTGACTAATATTTGTTGTGTAGAACCCGAGCAAAAAGGAACAAAGAGTGCAACGTGGTGCCACTGAACCGGGACTTTAGCCAGTGCTGCCAAAACAAGCTCCCACCCCCCGGCACTTTTCCGATCCCTTCTCGCCTCCCCCAGCATGGGCGTGAGATCGCAGTGGTTGTCGTCATTGAAAGAATGACCTCGACATTTGAGTCGCAGGGGCTCCACAACTCAGACAGTTCAACTGCCCCCTTCCCCAACCACCACCCCCTGTCTCCACAGACTAAGACCCAAACCAGGCCTCGTGTTGGAAACCAGGTGGGGGAGGTTGAATCCCACGAGCAACCCATGGACTATGCCATGCCTACACGGAGCCACCGCGGGTGTGTAGCACCATGGGATGGCGCCTACTCGAGCCTACACCGCAACAAGCGCCTTCGCAAAGTGCCTAGGCAGACTTTTCTCGGGCAAACTCTTATACTCTGCTTAAATGGCTCTAAAGGTTTAAACATGATGACATTTTGTGAAGAACCCTCGAGTGAACATAAAATGTTTCTTTTCAAGGTTCACCAACAACTTGTGAGTTCCCCTTCAAGATTCATGGCCATCTCCTTGCCATCCTCATCGAACCAGAACAAATCCCCTGCTCATATAGATTGCAACAGTTTGTGATACCGTCTCCCAAGTACTGAACTTCAAGTGGAAATTGCTCGGCGGACATCATTTGCATGAGGTTTATGTCTGCCAACCATTTTGAGGGCGTTCCCTATTCCGGGTGTCACACAGGGGTCTGGAAAGAAACAAGCAAATCACCCCTCTGAGTTTCCTTTTGAGAAAAGTGACACTCAGGCATATATTCCGCAACAAGTTTGAACATATTTTTTGCCACTCAAATGTTGAATGTGTTTTGGGTTTCCTTGAACGTTCATGTTTCCGGGAAATCATTGGCTTCGCGCGTCAAAGGGAAGCCCATGGGGGCCGCGCCGGTGTAGCCCTGACCGGGCCGGGTGCTGGGCAGGTCCTGCGCATGGGCGTTCCCCGAAGCCTCGGAATTGGACTAGCGACCGAATCTTCTCATGTTGGGGAAGCAAGTTTCATGTTCTTGCTGGTTCTCACAGAGGGAATGAGCCGAAGTTGAAGGCTTTCCTCTTCCAACCCCGATCGTCAGCCTCTATGATTGTTGGAGGGAGGGCATCCATTACACTTTGGGACCCCCTAAATGGTGGCGTTCACTTTGACTTCCAGTTCAAGCCAACCAACAAAAAGGTACTGCACCTCAAACAGGCTGGCTTGTGGCTTCCTGTTCATCCCTTCAACCAATCCACAAACAGAGCCCTCAAAAAGCAATTGTCAACAAATCACACATCTAATTGCGGTGGGGAACCAAACATGACAACCAAGCTAAGTAAACATGCAGTGTAACATGTGTGTTTAGCCCGGCAATCCATTTAGAAGAGCTATGGCATGGTTCCAAGTTCGTTCCAAAAGCAATGCAACGGGCACGGCTGAATGAATCTCCCTCTGTCCAATGCTCCAGTGCTGGAGAAGCAACCCGCCGGCCAACTTGATGCAACAGTGGAGTCGGAGTGTAACACATTAAATGAATGATTGAAAAAGGGAACCTTCAAACTGAGGGTTTCCCTTCGGCTGCTCTCGAAAAGAAACCCCAAACAAGGGTATCCCACCGAATTCCACAGGCACCCACAACTGGTGCGACTCACTGTGCAGCCCTTGCTCACCACGGAAGTCAATTTTGTTGCATCTGTGCCGGCATGGTCACTGGCCGTATCAACCGATGAACATTCCTCCCTGCGCAATGTCTGGGTCGTTGAAATCGCTCCTTCAGCCCGCCTGCCCAAAGGATCTTGCGCCGGACCTGCCGAGAGTTGCGTTGAAGTGGCCAGCACACATGCACACCGAGACAAACAAGCAATAACAAGGGCCTCAATAATTAGAATGGGGTTGTGGGGCCCTATTAATCCACCTATCTCATTGGAGAATAGTGCTTGCAATTAGGTAGGCCTTCATGTTAAGCCGCTGAACTTAAGCTGTCCTCTTGCGAAACTACGAAGTAACTTCTCATGGGCAAGAACAGCCTAACATGGCATTCGCTTGTGACAAATGATTGCTGATCACAATGTGGTGGAGCTCATACAGAAAGGGCTTTGGCATGTCCAGGTCGGCAAGCAGCACGATCACCAGATCACCCTGCATCAACGTACGAGGCCAACCATCACACGTGGTCCAGAGGCAAACGTTATTGCTTGAGGATCCAGTTTCAAGAAGATCGATAGCCCAAAGGACCTGGAGATAAAACGGAGACCGGATTCCAGTAAAGTGACATCCACAAAATCACCCTCCAAATGGTGGTCCCTCGGCACCCCAAAGTAACTTTAAGAACTCAGCATGATCACTTTAAGGGACTCAGCTTGAGAGCCTCGACTAGATCCAGCGCGATCCGGTCGACTTTGGACCTGGTGTTCCTGTGGGCCATCTTGGTGGACATCAACGGAGTGCCAGGTCCAACGCTCCCCATGTCTTGCACTGCTTGTTGAAGTCCCTAACCGTTTCATGAGAAGAACCAGAAACTTCTACTCAGGTGCTGTTAGAATGGTACATATGTGGATTCATGCAAACATACTTCTTTAAAGGTATCCCAGTTGCCCTGTGACGCGAAAGGTAGTCGAAGGCAACCAAATTAGTCTTGCGGGCCAGGACCAAATTTGCAGAGGACCCCGAACCCACCAAACAAAAAGGGATTTAGAGGGCGCCGCTGAACAACTTGGCAGCTGCAAACTCTAGCACGACTCGTTTTACCTCAAGCTGCTCTTCTCCCCACACCTACCCCAAAACCCCCTGGCGCCTCTTCCCAGTCCTTGCTGAGATCCAGCGGCGTCAGACTCTTCACTCGAGCCTCTCGGCTCAGCTTTGTTTCAATTGGCGGGTTGGATTATATAAGGGTTTGGTCGTCAAGGGTTGGTCTCCCACTGTACAAAATTCAGGGGTTCAAATCCTCAAACCACCAGTCCAACCACCAATCCAGGGTTGGCCGATCAGCAGTGGAAACAACCAGAAACATTCAAATTCAAAAAAAAAAAGTCTTGGCAACAACACGGTTGGCTTGTCCAAAGGCAATGCACTACATGGGCAAAGCTCAGTGCCAAACCGTGACACTTTGAAACTATGTGCATATTGAGTACATGGTTTACGGTGACTCAGGCGCGCATGGTGTCATCTCAATCTGAGGATAACTATCTTGCAGAGTGACCCAGAACAAGGTGGGTCACAAATAGAACTTCAGCACAAATTACGTCAAAAATGCCTGTTCCACTCCTGCAAAACATGGCGCTGGCGCTCCTCATAGCAAGCATTGATGTGCGGAATCAAGGGTGACATATGTGTTCTGCCGCTTAAGCTAGCACATGCTGAGCTGCTGTCCAATTGCCAAAACTTGGTTTCCCTGTGCATGCCCTTTGAAACCACGGGTACCAACTTTCAAGGGAACCACAATGAGCTCCAAATTCGGCCTGGATATTTCTCAAGCGCTCCACAGACGTACCCGGATACTCCTGGTCGACCTCGCGAAGCCGTCCAGCATCCCAGCTGAGCAAGAGTCAGTTGCGTCGTGAAATCTCGAAATCTTCCCCGAAACATTCTCAGAAGAAAACACAAACAAACAAAAACACAAACCAACTCGGCCCCATCGAATCAAGACAAGGTGATAACCGCTAGGGCATTGAAATGCTCAAACCTTGAGAAACCGAACGAAACAATATACTTGAGTCGCTGTGGACAACTGAAAGGGCCCCTTGGCTGTTGGAAGTTTCCCTTCGTTTCCTTGGCAAGTGTTGAGGTAGCAAGCCACCGGTACACGTGTGTGATCATGATCGGCAACATTAAACTGCCAACATGCGGGCACGTCGTCTTGGTTGGCTTTGAAGGCATTTGGGGCCTCCATTTCCAATTTTGAGACAAAGCCATGCGCTGTCATGAGCCCTGCGCTTCCATGACCAGCTGGGGCCCGAGTCAACTCGGGTCGTCGGAAAATGCGGCACGCTGGAGCCAAGATCATATCAAAACTTGACAATCTGCAGCAGACGCTTGTGCAGCACCGGCTACAAAAGGCGCATTTTGAGGGTGAGAAAGAAGCCTGGAAACCTTTATGACAACAGACCTTTTCAAGATTTCTGAGGAGGGGTGCATGTGCCTTGCACCCTTGGCAGGCATCTGCCAAACAGGAAATGTGCGATGTTGGTTGCCATGAAAATGCTCTTGATTCTCCGACGCGCCTGAAGAGAAAATCTACCAACCAATGCAGCCCTCGCCTTTTTGATATGCTTTGCAACCCTGAAAGGTCATGTACGGTGTATGCCAGGAAAGCAAGCGAGACACACTCACGGTCTTGGGACGAAGAGGACACTGTTTGATGGATAGAAACATGATCAAACATTATCACCTCATCAATACATGCAGCGGCACCCTTCACTGTGAGTCTTGATGGTACTAGGGTCCCAATAACTAGAATGGGGGGTTGTGCTGGGTTGTGGAGTTAACCAACTCACCTTGAGATCATGGAATAATCATGTTTGACATCATTGAGCCCGATCTATTATGTACTCGGGGTTCCTGCAACTTGCTAACTTGCTAATTGTCTTGTGTCATGAGAATGCTGGTTGCGGCTTCATGGGAAGCGCAATGAGTCCACATATTCAAAAAACGAATTGCTTTTGCACTGTTTGGCCAATCCAAAGCAGTTGTGAGAATTCCGATGTCGTTTGTGCTTTGTGTGACGAGATGGATACACAATAGTGTAGCCCCACCAAAAAAAAACTCTCTGCTGGTTGGGCTTAAGAGGATCCCTAGATATATTGCCCCAAAACCCTGCTGAATCCTTGCTGAGAATCGACAAGCTGTCCTTCAAATGCTGCTCCTCCGCCTTTTGTCTGCGCTGGGTCAGTAGATGCCGCGCTCAAACACCGGCTCGTTCCGCAGGATACGATCGTAGCCCAGGATAGAGAGATCCAGCGTCTGGTACCTTCAAAATATGAGCCGGCACGGGACCTATTCATGTGTCCCTTTTGGAGGGACCTGGTGGGGTGATGGAGGCGCATTTTGCTCCGAAGTGAAGAAGTCCCTCTTAAATGGGACACATCCCTGCTTCTCAGCCAGGTGAATATTGGATTCCCATTACCAACCACAGGGCCAACAAAGAGGTCATGGATGGGCACGCCATGCCTCCAGTGCACAGAAATGTTGCCTTATCGCTCAAGAAATTTTAGAAGGCTAGCAATTCAATTGGCTTCTGTGACCACGGCCACAAGGAGCGTTGACCATTTCAGGTGGCTTCGTCCCCCCCAAACTCGATCGGACTCAAAGGTTTTCCAACCACTACAGGTCGACCACAAGTTTTCAAGCATTTTACCATGCTTCCCAGGCATGGTGGGGGTTTGTGTCCAACAATGCCCCGAAATGGTGGTTTTCCTTGCGGCGTTCCTTTAAACCAAGCTGAAAAGGGTACCTTTCGCCTCCAAAAAGCGAGGCACAACTGGGAGGTGCTCCCCAAACCCCACGTTTTTATCCCACGCTACCCACGTTAAACCCGGCCCAAGTTAGACTCCCAGGTCGGACGGCATCCGCGGATTCGGCGCACCCCCCAGAGGTCAGCAGCTCAGCCACGGCTCGGCCAACACCTGGAGCCTTCCGCATGGCTTCCCTGAAGTTCAGATGGTGTCCCAGCCCCACTCTGAAGCTACGGTTACAAACCTAGTTACGCAACATCTCCCAGAGTAGCACCTTGAGGGGTAGTAAAAGGATACACAACCGCTAGAATTGTATAGCGAGTAGAAAAAAACAAACACAAATCACCACCCCAAACCAAAGCTACCCGTCCCGGGGTTGTTGTTTCCAATTTCACCCTCAAGAACCAGGGGTTCAAATCCCCAAACCACCAATCCAAACCACCAATTGAGGGTTACCTGAAGGTAAAAAAGCAGGGGCATACACCATCATACTCCCCTTTATATGCTGACTAGTGGTTTCATACGTTTCACTACCAAATCACCGGGCCTGGGGTGAAATTGATGCAAAACCGAGGCTACCGGCTCTCAGGATATGAACCACTATTAAAAAAAGAGTAGACTGTATACCCCCTCCTTTTTCTCACCCCTGCGTCTCATCCTACCGTGCGAGTCAAATCATTGAATCCAAGCCATCCAATCGCGCCATCAAACATTTCAAGATCCCCGTGAAACACCAGCTAAGAACACCTCCATTTTTGAAGCACCACGCGTTTCAAGTTGATTGCTGAGAAGGATGGCCCACGGGACAAACCAAAGCCAGGAGAGCCATCCGAACTTCTCATAAATCACAGCGACTAGCATCTCAGTTCCTGAGTGGATTAGCCAGAAAAAGTCTAGACTTATTGTGTACCACTAAATGGCCTTCCCCCCCAAAAAAAAGAAGAAGTCCATAGACTCAGGAAGTGAGGCATTGAGCATCAAAGAATCACCCTCATCAGGGAATCTTGCAAGGGCATTTCTGAGCGTAGATTTGGCATGAGTTGACTATTGGAATTCTCAGCGCGGCATATGCTCAAAGAAACTGTTGCTCCTTTGGTCTCCCCTTGTTCCCAAAGCACCCAAAGCAAGGGGTTCCTTTGGGTGTCCTTTGAAAGCACCAGGTGGTTTCCGATTATTTTCCTTTAACCCACCATTTTCCTTTCCCAGGATTTTTGTACCTGTAGGTGATGTTCATCAGTCTTTTGGCCCACTAATAGGGGCAACTGGATCCACCGGGTTTGGCTTTCCTTCGAGAAACAATCAACACCTGGCATTAAAATTGCCAAAATCATGTGAAGAATCACAAGGCGGCACCAAGCAAATTTGGATGCGCCCACCTCCGTAAGAGCTCCCTTCCAACCACAATCCAGTAGTTCTGGTGCCTGCCCCTAACCTTCGAATCGGCCTGCTGCAAGCCGTGCCCGCTGAATCCAGTCGCAACCAGCAGGTTGGAGACATCTGGGTGCCACCTCTGGTGCGTGTCTTGCAGGGCCCCCAAACTAACATTGGTTGTCCTTCTGGATTCTCTGGAAAAACCAATCAAAAGGCAAGGGAGAACCCCCCAGCTCAGGTGTGGTTTCAAAGCTCCTATTGCTAAAAATTGACATTCCCAGGGCCCATGACCTAAGCGTATGTGGATGGCACACGTTTCGTACCCTATGTTTTACGGGAAAACGGGAAAACTAGTGAGTCCGCTAGGCCCCAGTTGTAGGACGATTGTGTGTCCCCTGATTTTGTGGAAACATAGGGCTCCGCTCCCTGGTTTTTGCGTTGCTGGAGATTCGGGGTCACGGAACCTGCGGGTCAAAGCATGGCAGATGTTAAGCCCGGCACGGCAACCTGTCTCCTTACACAAACAAGCTAGATGAGCTAAGCTCAAAGCAAGCATCATCTGGCACCAGCAAGCAAGCAAGCAAGCAAGCAAAAACAAACAGAGAAACAAAAACACAAAGAAAGAAAGAAAGAAAGAAAGAAAGAAAGAAAGAAAGAAAGAAAGAAAGAAAGAAAGAAAGAAAAAAAGGAATAAAGAAACAAAGAAAGAAACAAACAAACAAGCAAACAAACAAACAAACAAAACACAAAGAAACAAAGAAACTAAGAAACACAGAAACAAAGAAACAAACAAACAAACAAAGAAGAAAATAAAGAAAGAAAGAAAGAAAGAAAGAAAGAAAGAACGAACGAACGAAAGAAAGAAAGAAAGAAAGAAAGAAAGAAAGAAACAAGCAAAGAAACAAACAAACAAACAAACAAACAAACAAACAAGCAAACAACACAAAACAACACAACACAACACAACACAACACAACAATAACACAACAATAACAACATAAACCAATTCAAACACAAACAACAACCGACAATGACAAGCCACCTCCAGGATGTCAAACACTGTCTGCAGCTGCATGGGCGCTCCAACAAAGTTGACATGCCCGGACCTTTCGCGCATCCCAAACTTGATATTAAACATTTGCACCACTTGACTCATCAGTTTGAAATAGCACCAGCCCAAGCTCTGCAGGACAAATGGTCAACACATGTTCGCACAAAAATTCAAGTGGCAGCCAAAAGGAATCCCATTGTGACATCCTCGCAAAATATCCCAAATGGAGTTTCCCGCCAAACGTAATAACCCAAATGCAACCTCTTGCCTCTTGACGGGACTCACCCAAACAAGTACCGTCGAATGAACACCCCTCCTTAAAAACGGCGTCCGCCGCTTTGCTCGGAACGCAGCGTTTCCTCCCCTCTGAGGCGGCAACCCGACCACCCCGTTCTGGTCCAGCGTGTTGTACTCGTAGAGACCCGCCCAGGAGGACTCGAGCTTGATGGCCTGCTGGGGGTTCCCTCTATGTCCAACATGAAAACACCTTCCTGGCCAAGGGAAACTTGTCTATGGGCCAAATGGTGATGTTCGAAACCACCAACAAGTGGTGAGTGCCTTTTAGACGGAAACCAGCAGGAAACACACCCCGCCACAGGAGAACGCCAGTCGGAAGTCTGCAAGGATTCACTCAAGTACAAAATGATGTGTGACCTTCTGGGTAAATGGAGCTTCATCTTTGGGCCGCTGCAAAAAAAAGAAGTTTCACGACTCAGGTGGGGTGCTGTGAAGAGGCAACTGATTAATACTGGCAGTCGTCTGCTATAAGCTTGGGGAGGATATGGAGGGCCACCAAAATTGCCTGTGTCTGATCACAAAACAGTCGCAATGTTGTCAGGGGCTCATGTGTGCTAGGGCAAAAACTGGTGTGGGCGATTATTCGTCACGATCCCTTTCTGGGGGGAGTTGCCTAAACTCCCCAAGGGGCTGATGATCATCCCTAACCGGGCGAAGGGGTTGTTGGCCATGGCTGAAAGCAGAAACTGAAAGCCGCAGCCTCCAGGGCTGGAGCACGTTCCGCCAGGGCGGGCCATATGATGTCCTGAACACGGCCGGTCTCCGGTATGGAGCAGAAAACATAGGCATCAAGCAGCAGGCTGAACAATGATGTTGGCTCGTTAGCTAAGTAACCCTGGCTCCTTGGCTGTGGCAAGCCGAGTTGGTATTGGGTTGCTTCACACAGCTTCTGAAAGGGCACCAACCCCTTCTCAGAAATTGCCCTCATCAGGTTTGCTGCACAATCTCAACAGTTTGAAGCTAGGAAGAACCCAAAGGCCTGCCCACCCCCGCGCTTTGCTGAACCTTCTTAGCAGGAGTCGTTGCAAGCATTCTAAGAGTGGGGTTTTGTTCGGGAGGCATCCTCAAAGAGGTCGTGGTCAATGACGTCCAACGCATCTGCGTCACAGTCCGCGTCATCCTCGGGCAGCTGAGCCATGCGGAAGGCACCCTAGATGGCTGTGTATTGTTGAAGTTGAGGGCACCCTGTTTTTGTTGGGGTTCATTTTGAAGGGAAACCAAGAGCAACGCTGCCCTTTTGGTTGGTTCCTAGAAAAACTTGTTTGGCTGGGTTCAACATGGAGGAATCCCCAATGATAATCCGTAAGCCGTAGGACACTGCGATCACACGATGCATTAATCCACTTGCAAACAACGCTACAACACACAAACGCGTGTGGATGACCACACATCTCTCCTAAGTCTAAGTGTATGTCATCAACTGTCCTGCCCCGAAAACTAGCTCGATGTTTGACGCTTTTCTGTTTCCAGAATCCTCGTTCACGTCAGCCGGTGCTTCTGCATGAATCCTTTTCAAGGTCTTCAAAACTCGAGCGCCGGCTTCCCCCAGCGCGCCTCTGGCTTTGGGCTCACTCCGCACCTCAGGAGCCGATTTGTCTCCTGCCTTCCGAGACCCCGCGAAGCTGGGAGGAAGGTCATTTCTATTGGCTAACTCAAAGTTGTTTGGTTGCATGGCAACTCAGTGCAGTGCTGTCATGCACGATTCACGCTCGAAATATGTCAGCTACCCAAGACGACATGGAAAATTGGGTCCTCCCCCGGAAATGCTCAAACAAATGACCATAGATTGGACATATGGGTCTGTTGTTTGCTAAGGGCGCGCATTTTCGATGTGTTTCTTGCAAGTCCAAGGGAAGGAAGCCCCACCCACCTTCACCCGGCTCCATTTTAGGGCACACACGCTCCCAAGGTGCAAGGAGTACCTTCAAAAAACAGAAACACATATGGAGCAGTCTCTTTTTGAGGGTACTCATTTCGGGGTTGTTTTGAAGCGAAACCAACAGCAAACCCACCATTTTAGGGCTTCCCGCATATATTCATCCACATGTAGGCATGGTTGCCTTACGGACTTCTACATTCTCTAAGCCCCGTGCGTTGATGACCATCCCCCGCCCCACGCAACCGGGTCTGAACGCAGCCAAAGGGGCAGGAACCGTCCTCGGGAGCCCTCCGAGCCTCAGAGGAGAGAAAATCGGGTCCAGTTCCTTTGCGGAAAATGTGGGGGAAGTGAAAAATGTCCCCGTTTTTGGATGTGGGTCTGTGCCGTTGTGAAACTCCGAACATGCGGCCCAGATTTCTTGATGGGAACTCTTATATTGGTCCCCCCACCTAAGTCCCTCAAAGGGTTCAACAACCATACCTACCCGCCCTTCAATAAAACACATAGAAAAAGCCAAGACAGACAAGCCAGTTGCTGTTTTGAGAACTGTTGTGTATCAAGCGGGCAGGCTGGCGTGGCTGTTGCAGAAAACTTTGGAACGAAAAGTGACGGCAATCCGCCAACTTGGCCTCGGCCTTTGCCTGCTCCGTGTATCCCTGTTGACCTCCCGACATGTAGCCAAAGTATGTTTCAGACGTCTAAACCAAGATCGCCTAGATGACACAGCGTGTGTTGAGGGCAGCAATACCTCTGTTGTTCAATGGCACGCGGTTTCCCTTTCTGTTTGGTGGGCTCCCTCTAAAAGCGGGCATGTTTGACTATGCAGCGCATGGCTCTCGTGCACATGGTTTCATCATATGTCGAAAAACTCAGAACCAGTCAAATCCGATTTCTATAGGCCAAGAAATCGACACGTAATATGCCCACAGTGGGAGTGCAATCTGCACCCTTCAGCCAGCTGACCTACCTCTCGTGATCAAGGTTTTGCGGTCGCTTGGGTCATGCTTGAAGTCCGAGCCTCACAATAAAGTCACTGACCAAACCTCGTCTCCCGAGTGGGCTCAACAAGTTCAAGCTTGGCAGTAACTGGGCTTCCCATATGTCTCTCTTAGACATCACCCCCTTGAAGGAAAGCCATTGAAATCTGAAATGGGCCCAAAAGGTGATGCTTAAATCCACCAGAAATATAGGGAGCCCACGAAGTCGGGGAAGCAGAGAAAGGACCCAGCCAGCTGGGGAGTGCTAGAGAAAAGCTCCAATTTCCGCCCCACTTGCCCTTTACTTTCTCTCTTGAAAGGGAGTCAAACAAAGTAAAGTTCTGACCCACTTGACTTTTCCCTTGGGAGGCGCAAGTGTCCCCAAAGGTCCTCTTTACAAAATGCCCTACCCTCAGCTGATCTGACTTCGTGAGCGGATTAGCCAACACCCCCGAAACCAATCTGAGGAACCTCCTGTGGGGGGATCTTTTTTGGGTTCCTTCTGTTGAGTTGCGGGGGACCTGAGTAGATCTTTCCAGAATTCGTTGAGCACCCGGCGAAACCACACGCCACTGGCATCGATGGTCAGCGGGGTGTTGTCCGGGGGCCGGGGAACACCATCGCTTGTCACCTGAGAACAGCCATCCGTGCAAGTTGGATCGGACATTTGGCCGGTCCATTTGCTTAAGTCCCATGGAAAAAATGAAACGACCAGTATTGACAGATTCCCTTAAAACTAGGGGACAATCAAATATATTGAGCAAATTGAAGGTACATGGGTGTGTGTGTGCCTTTTTGAGGCTTGGCGCTCTAGCGAGTGGGATCGAAAGATGTCCTATACAGTAACGTAGAGACAGTGGGGATCAGCTGGCGAAATTCACGTTTGGAAAAAAGGGCACACTTTGTAGTTTGGCTTGAAGGGTAACGAGAACCTTGGGGGTGTCCCATAGAGTGGATCCTTCCCTTGAGGTAAGGAACGCAATTCCAATGCATCACGAAAATTCCGGAAAGAAACACCCCTCCGCACAGAGCCTCATGGGACACACGTCTCTTGCCATGCCTCCTGGCCCACGTGGAACATGAAGATACATCGCCTCGGTTCTCGAGTCGCGACTCGCCAAAAACGTTCACCTCCCGGGAGTGAAAACCGAAACCACTCCTGCCATTTCAACCACATTTGGGGCAACCCGAGGGACGCATGAAACAACTAATCTCAGAAACTTTTGAAATTTGCCTCGGCAGAAGCTAAAGTTTCCAGCGCATTCACGTTGAAGACAGACACAAGAGGCTGAACCCCATTCTAATTATATTACATTCAGCAACTTCAGCTATCAACAACTGGGTGTCTCAAAAAAGGGCAACCCCAAACATGGCTGGTTCTTTCTGGATTCCTCTTATAACCCATCAGAATGATGATGTTTACCGTGGTGCTGGAGCCAGGGCCTCGTGCTTCCTTGGCGCCACAGGTAGGGGCGTCACGTCCCCGCACATGGCCACCCTCAGGCGAAACGTGTGCAGCAGCCCGGAGCCCAGGGGTTCGCCTTTTGGGGGAATCAAAAATCAACTACCTCTGGGTTTAAGTAATCAACTATTTTTGGGTTCAGAAATTCACTACCCCAGGGCTTCAGCCACTTTGGAGTATAGTCAACAACTGGAATGCCCGTGTCTGCGCACGAGACCTAGACAAAATCAATTTCCCTGGTACCCTCCCACTGGTTGCTATGTTAGTTGGAGCTAGGGTTGGGGCTAATAAGCTTTATTGGTAAGCTTGTAAAGCGAAGTGAGGCCAATAGTCCATGACACAGCACTCAACCCTCAAGAAGTGAACAACTAAACACCAATCACAATTACCAATAGACTGATTGTTTTGGCCTGTCCTGATGTGAGAGCCGGAAAACAAATCACGCGTTGGCTTACCCTGGCTTTCGCGGATTTCGCTTGGGACATTTGCGAGTTGCTCATATGAGGATGAATTCTAATTGGGGGCGCTTGGTGGACATCAGACAACACAGGGATTGATGTCAGCCAACCAGTGAGGGTTTCCCCAATGAACATCATGGGCAAATGGGGCGAATTGTGTTTTGGCTTCCCTTTTGACAAGCATGCAACAAGGGTCCTCCATTTCCGGACACCCTCACTTGCAAACAACAGGACGCCAGTGCACAACTTGGCGCTCACAGCGCAAACATGAGCGCCTTGCACCCAAGCCTGGATTTCAAGCGACTGTTTTGCAACAGCTCACAGGTTGGCGACCCTACTCATGTAAGGAATTACAGAGCGGAAATGGCTTCTATGTATGGTTGGGGCTACTCACAACCCGGGTTTTTGATTCTTCGCATCCCAAAGCACATCAAATGCCAGACTAATGCTCCGCTTCTTCCCAGTGCTTTCGTCCCTCATCAACAAATCTAGATGCTCCAGGGAAACCTCAAATTGTTTGGAAGGTGTGTGCACATTGCAATACGCCTGCAGTTCCACTAAACCATAGACCGACAAGCCGGCATCTGCTGGCCTGCCAGCAGCAAATCTGAAAGCAACACACAGACCATCCCTGCAGACACCGAACAACCCCACTCAAGAAAGAAACTAAAGATCCTCAGGCAACAAATCATACACCACTCACCCTTCAAGCGGTCAGCAAGCACCCACCAACCAGCCTTCAAACCACTAGCCAATAATGCAAAGCTATTCATCAACAAAGTATCCAAACCCCATTTGTAATGCACACAGCTGTCCAGTAGTTTCCGTCTTCAGCATCATGCCCCTCCTCCCCAGTGGAAACTCCTTTGAAACTGGTACGTACAAGAGGTGATGACTTAGAAGCGTATTTATGCCCCACAGCCCTGTAAGTTGAGCCTTTGTGATGGTTCTTCGCATCCCTGCCAACATCAAGCAAAGGGTGTTTCAACCATGGTCAACATGTGCCGTCCTTTGAACATGAAAAAGCAGGGTTGTCTCCCCCCCCCCCCCCCATTTTGTTGGGCATCTAGAGTGTGTCCGCATACTCCCCTCGATTTGGGCATAGAGACTAGTGGATATGGAGACCGAATCTCATATGTGCTATGGTCAAGCCTCTTTCTGTGGGCCACGGTCACTCCTTTTGGGCTCCGGCTGACAATGAATTCCCTATGTTTCGCCGTTAATTAAGCATCACAAAGGGAAATCCACCTTAGGACCAAACAAATGCTCACTAAGCTCAAGGCACTTCACCACCAAAAGCTCCTGAGAAGCGCTCGCCGTCTAAATCCGGCGCCGGGTACTGGGTTGTCCAATGGGGTATGGTACCCCCCTTGAATGGGGTGGTTCGGTATAGCTTTTTGGGGTTGGGGTTGGGTTCAGGGTCGGAATGGGTTGGGTTGGATAGTTGTGGGGTTGGTATTCCTTTGCTCTCTCTTTCTCTGGTGTTTCTCTGGTCTCCCTTTGATTTTGCATTTGGTTCCCTTTGGTGTCCCTGGAAAACCGCGAAAGTGGATCTGCGAGCCTCAAGAACGCCACGCCGGGTGTTGGCTTGGTCCAAACTGCCACCTTGACCACATTTGCTTTTAGGTTGCTTTTAGGTTTCAAGTGGCTCTTCTCATGGGGATTTCTGGCCATCAACCATGTTTTAGACCATGTTTTAGCTGGCTCCCTCTTTATCACACCAAAACATGCTGCTTCATCTCCAATTGAACATGTGTCAAAACAGGGGAAGCAACAATGTGTTTCTGTTCCTGGCTTTTCTTTAAACAAAGATGAAAGGGGTGCCTAGCCCCACACACACACGCACACACACACACACACACGGCCTAAACACCCTTACACACACGCAGGGCCACCACTTCGGTAACCCCCCCATCCTGCAGCATTGACCACGGTGCTGACTGCCACATCCGTGCCATCGGCCAGCTGAATGGCTTCGATGCTGCTACCAGGCCTCCGATCTGTCGACCGCGGACAAGCTCTGCAGAAGTCACATGGGAATTTAGTCTCCCAGTCTGTCCGACCCCAAGCCGTTTTTAAGCAGCTTATCTCATGGCCCATAGGAGGTCGAAAAACGGGCTCAACCAAAAATACGTGGTGTCCCTTTGATTTCCGTTTGTGGTAATCCCAGAAAGGGTACCCACCAAAGAAAAGGTACGCTCCCACATTGAGTCATCCGAACCTCACACAGGGGAGGCTACCAAAAACCCATTGAGAAATAATTTGCGCGAGTATCCGCACCAGTTCGTGGACGGGACAACCCCTAATTCTAATCTATCCAGATTTGGATTGTGGCTCACATGGGGACTAAATTTAATCAATTGTCCGCTTTAGTGCGCCAAACTTGATTCTAGCGGTCGGAATAAATTGAAATTCACAACCAGTTCGCCAGAAATCATACTTTAGCGGCCGAGTCTCGCAGAGAGCAGCTTCCCTCTCGGTCGATACCGAGTCATGTCGCCTCATGCCGTTGCCTTCAAGATCCGAAAGTCGGTCCCAAAGCACATCTGAGCCGCCCCTTGAACCATCCCGTAAAGCCAACGCGCCTCCGGAGCCCTGTGACCTTCTGGTCAACAAAGCGCACACCCTTCGCCATCGCGCCCTTGCGCATGGCCTGGCGCACCAGGTCCGATAGATGGTGAGGCGTGTTGGGGTAGGTGCACCTACATATCAATCATGTAATTATGTCTTGCGTGCACATAAATGTAAGCAAGTATTCATGTACATATATTCACATATATATATATATATATATTCACATATAAACATTTATACAAATTATATGTATGTATAGAACATAATTTGTATGAGGTACGCTTGCATACAAAATTGCGTAACGTTTACACGGTGGCGCGATATTTGTATGCCCCACATGCCCTTGGGAGCCTAAGGCCAAGCGCTGGATTCAGCAGCTGTCCGGAGCGTCAAGACTCAAGGGTCGCATTTCAGGTTTCCTATGTCTCTTTCCAAGATCCCAGGAAAGTCGAGCAACATGGGCAACTGCAAGGAGATGCTTGACACACCCATGGGACATTTGAGCGGCAGACATGCATTGCAACCAGAAAGAACCTTCCAACATAAACTGTGCATTCTGAATGCGAGGAAAGACTTTTTTCTACCGCCCGAATTCCACTGGAATGGGAGCCATACCCGCGCGCCTGGAGCAGTGCCCATGGGTCAAAGTAGCCCTCGTTGCCTGCGAGGGATGGGGAGGCAGGCGTAGACAGCAAGCATGGACCAAGCCAAAAGACGATAACTGGGTTTGGGTGTTGGCCATAAAAGCTAATGGCTTCGAGAAAGAATCAGTCTCCAAGAAGTTAAACGGATGCAAGTCGCACAGAGCAAACAAGCCGAAGGTGTCATGGTCAAAACCCTCCTATGTCAGTCATGTCATGGTTCCTTCAGAAGGACGTTTAAAGACTGAAAAACCCAAGCCCGGAAATATGGATGGGGCACATAGACTTGAATGGGCTTGCCGCAAACAAAGGCTCATCAAGTCGCCTTGGCGTGCTGCGAATCAGAGCGCTTGCAAACAAGTCGGCAGGCAAGCTGCAAACGGCGACGGCTGGATACATAGCAATTGACCCCAACTTGCTGAAAGAGCCGTGCATCTACCTTTGCACCAGGGATCCATTTACACATGGCACTCGTGCCATGGAAAACCGAAGGGGCCAAACACCTCAGTTTGTCGAACCTCCCGTCGATTCGCGGATTGGGCGCACGTGTGCCGAAGGATCCAAGAGCAAGGCCCTCTGTGGAGAGCCAGGGGAACCTGGACATGCGGAAAGCTGAAGCTGAAGGGGAGTCCGCCCAACAAAGATTACCCATGTAAGGCAATGTAAGGGTATATCTCAGGGGTACCTGCTTCAGGAGCACGTGATTGACACCCTAGACAAAACTGAAGGTATCGATCGACTCAACTTTGTCCACGAGTCTTTGAAAGGGGCTGTCTTGAGGCACTGACAGTGGCATATCTGTATCTGAATTGAATACTCCCTTGGACTTTGGTTATTGATGCTTCTCACTCAAGTGTTGAACCAGCTGCTCCACCTTTGCCGCCACACAACAAACACAAGCAAGAACACATGTCCCACACAAGCGGATGTGCGGATGTGCATCCACCGAGTCATTCCTTTCATTCCATTGATGTGCGCTGCCCTTGGAGTGGGCTTTCTTGCAAAAGGATGGGGAATCAGCAAGTGGCCTTGAAGGGAAGGTCAGGAGCTTTGGAGACGAATTTCTGGCCGGCTCCATGAGAGAGGCACGGTCCCAACAATGGAATAGCGTGTTCCCTCAGCATGCGAAACTGGGGCTAGTACATTGGCCTTTTTACGAATTTTCAGGAACTTAAGTGACCAACGGGTCCCTTGCAGGGTCCATGCTTGCTTGTTGGCAGGGTAGCCTCAAAAAAATACTCATACCAACACACACACACACAAACGCCCGGCCTGGTGTTCAACTCTGACGCATCCAACAGCTGTACCCAATCGGCGCCAGCTGCATGTTGCACGGCGTTATTCGCCCGCAAGGCCGCCTCTGGGTGGTCAAAACGGGCATGCGGTGGTCAAAGCGGGTATGCAATCAAGGGACCCAAAATGGTAGGAGTATCCTTGTGGCTTCCATTCAAACCAACCTTTAAAAGGGCACCCTGAAAAAAAATCGCACACGCAAATCCTAAGAAGCAGGCAAGGAATGGAGCCACACTTGGCAGAGCACATGACAGATTCCACTGGAGGTTCCCATTTTGTTTTTGGCTGGGGGACCCCCTAACATGTTGGCTTCTATTTACATGTGGGCTTCTATTTGGTTTCCTGTCAAACCAACCCACAAAGGGTCCCCTCAAGGGCACACCTTTCTGAAGGTTCATGCATTTCTACAGTACCTGATTTGAGCAGAAATGCCAATCTTGCGAGGCAGAGTTCCAATCCTCGTTCTAAAAGCGTGGAGATTTGACCAAAAACTCACAAACTTCGGCAATAGCTGCGGTCTCAGTTTCCGCTTGCGCACGGGTGCCCCATATTTCCCGCTTGGATATCCTTTAAAAGGTGAATATAAGGGATGTACATCTAAGCTCTACAAGCTAAGCAATTTGGCTGTATAAGATCTGGCCATATTCGAGTAAAATAATCATTGTTGCACACCTCTAAGGGGGTGTGTATGTTGTCGAGGGTGGTTTTCTATCGTCCGCTAAAGGAAAAGCAAAAGGAAAACCACCATTGTGAGGGTCCCCTGTTCAAAGACACCGAAAGGGGATGTGGGGATGGACCCACCAACTCATGCGAGAACCGAGGCAATTCCACGCCTCCCCGTCAGGAGTACTAAGCAGAAGGTAGCCATGCTCCTGCGAGCGTCGCACTGCTCGGGCTTTTTGGGGTGGCCATCTCTTGGAGGATTCCCTTTTTTGGCTGAGCTGTGCAAGGAATACCAACCAAATGCGTGTGTGCTTCTTGTATTTGTGTTTGCCAGTGTGCTTGTTTCTGCGTGGTTGGTTGTGTTTTTTTTGTTGCGTGTTTGTCTCTGGTGTGTTTGACAATGTGTGTGAGTGTGCATGTTTGTGTGTTTGTGTTGGTTTGTATGTTTGTGTGTGTGTGTGTGCGAGCCTGTGGAGTATTTGTGGTTACATGTTTGTGTGTGTGATTGTGTGTCCTTGTGCTTTTGTGAGCGTGTTTGCGATTGTTTGTGCTTGTTCATGTATATGTTTGTGTGTGTCTGCTTGCTTGCTTGCTTGCTTGCTTGCTTGCTGGCTGGCTGGCTGACTGGCTGGCTTGCCTTGCCTTGCCTTGCCTTGCCTTGCCTTGCCTTGCCTTGCCTTGCCTTGCCTTGCCTGCCTGCTGTGGTTGTCTGTTTGTTGATTTCTTTGTTTGTTTGTGTGTTGCTTGGCTGGTGGCTTGGTCTGTTCGTGGCATGTTTGTTTGGTTGCCTGTTTGTGTGTTTGTTTGCTTGATTGCTTGTGCGTTTGTGTGTTTGTTTACGTGATTGCTTGACTGCTTGCCTTCACTTGCTTGTTTGTTTGATTGTTTGGTTGTTTGTTTGTTTGCTTGCTTGCTTGTGTTGTTTGCTTGTTTGCTTGCGTGCTTGATTGCTTGCTTGTTTGCCTGTTTAAGTGTGTTTGTTTTTGCTTGTTTGTTTGTTTGATTGATCGGTTTTGTGTTTGCTTGTTTGTTTGCTTGTTTGCTTGCTTTGTTTGTTTGTTTGTGTTTATTTGTTTGTTGCTAATGATCCATGACCTTGTGTGACTGCTTGTTAGTGTGAATGACTTGTTGTGCTGTATTGTGCTTGTGTGTGTGTGCTTGTGTGATGTGTATGTATGTGTGTTTCGTTTGTTTGTTTGTTTGCTTGCTTGTTTGTTTGCTTGCTTGCTTGTTTGTTTGTTTGCTTGTTTGCGTGTTTGCTTGCTTGTTTGTTTGTTTTATTGTGATTGTTTGTTTGTTTGTTTGTTTGTTTGTTTGTTTGTTTGTTTGTTTGTTTGTTTGTTTGTTTGTTCTTTGCCAACTTGGCCGCCTCTGTTTGGCTTTTCAACGGGGGATATGAATCCCACAAATGGGGTTTTGGGTTTATTGTCATCTTTATAAGCAAACCGATGCATGCGGCCAAGAAGAGCTCAAGGTGTCTGTGCCGGTCTCCTTGAACTGAACATCGGTGTCGACATCAACACCTGGCAGCCAGTCAGCCATCAACGCCAGATTTGTGACCTTGGAAATCTGAAATCTGTTGGAAATCCTGTGGAAAACCGCAATAAAGAGGAGATCCCCAAGTGAACAAAGGACCTACATCATGGTAAGCTAGGGATCCTTCAAAAAGCTTCTCTGTACCGTCCCCCCAAATACTCAGGATCAATGAATATCCCTACGAAGCCCCCAAATGAACAGCACCCCAACCCGCGTGACTTTGGGCTCTACGGGGTTGTAAAGGTTATGGGCCTCATTTGGTAACCACTAAACCGGGTAGTAGAGCTTCTTGGACTGCAAGCGGAGGTTTTGGGCACTGTCCAAGTCAGCGGTGCATGTTGATTTGTGCCAGTGGCGAATGGAATACATGGATGCTACGTGCAATAGTTTTCGGCATGAACAAGCAGTGATAAGACTCAATCTGCCAGATGTTTGCATGCTGACACGATGTCGAAACACGCCGTCGTCTGCAAGTCGCCTGTTTCTCTTCAGTGACAGTGCTGCGCACGGTCTCTCTCAAGCAACAGCTGCCACAAGCCGGTGAGATCAGGAAAGATCTCACGCAGAGAATCCGTTGACTGTTGCTTCCACCAAGCCGGTGAAAAGACATTTAGCCCTCATTGATCCGGCGAAAGCTTTCCGAGCCCCTCCCTGCAAACGACCCCCGCTTTGCTGCCTGACAACGAGCGCAACGAGCGAAGCGAGGCCTTCACACAGCTCGCGAAGGCGCTGCTTCAGAAAGTGGATCCCGTAGAGCGACAGCTCCACGTTCACCGGCAGCGAGAACTGCACAATCCGACAGCCCGGGTGCCCGAAAGCGAAAGCTGGTATCAAGGGGTCCAACAGTCCCCCTCCAGGGCAAAGATCCGTACCCATTGCCCGGACTGTCCCCAACCTTCACTTGGCCGGGGCTTTGATTGGGGCTCACGCTAAAGATGTCTGACTTGGAGGTCCGAGACCGCCGAGACTAGGGCCTAACCCCCTCTCTGGGAAACAAGGAGACCCAAAGAGCCGAAGCAGCCAGCCGGGGGTCCCGACACCATTGCCGCCATGGCAGATCAACCAAGCTTGCCTGCTTTCAACATCTCCATCTCTTCTCGTTGCTTCAATCAAAAGCTGTCAACCGTTCTACAAATCTCTCCCTGCCTGTTGGCGGATCCCACCCGCAGAGCGCGGCGCAGACGCGCGCGCATAGCAGGCGTCCGGCTCGAAGACTGTGATCTCAGGTCTGGTGCAAGTACTACAGTCGGTTTGCATGGTTGTGGAGAATTGACCTGTGAAAAAAAAAATGGGCCGTTCCTTTGACTAAGTTGACTACGCCTACTTAGTTCGGGAACCTCTTCTGGTATCACGGAGAGTGTGCTAAATCCCAATTTCCCAACCATTGTTCATAGCTCCTGGACCAAAGACCAAACAAGTCATGTTCAAGGCTCATTGCTGGCTCAAACAAGACCTCATGCGCCCGTGGAGCATGCGCGCAATTAACCAAAGTGGTGCATGAAGCATTCCGAGCTTTGCCGTTGCCCGGGTCAAAATCAGGCTCCCTATCCAACTGTAGATCGAAACAAGAGTGATTCGGACCCTGAGATACGCTCCACACTCCTGGAAACCACAGGCCCTCCCTACAAACATCCCCCATCCTAGAATCCCCTGAGGGGGATTGGACGGGAATTGCACTTGGTTCCCCAAACAGGCCTTATCGTGGCCTTGACTCAGGTCCTTGCCATCTCGGGGCCTTGGGGAGGGCAACCTTGGGTTTCCATGAAGCACGGCGACCTCGTGCTGAGGTTGACACCTTGCTGCCATCCCCTGGCACACCGGCCATCCCCCAGCCCCAGAAACAGAAATGGAACCTTTGGACCAATTCCACTACGGAACATGACTGAACTTGCTTTTGCCGATCCCAGTCCTGCGGGGAGACCTTGTTTTATCCTCCTTGGGAATGTAATCCCCGGGTGCCCGGGTGGTATTCATGTTGTGTTTCTTGGATCCCGCACAGGTGTTCGATGGCGTGACCATGCAATCAGAAGCACTGAGAAGTGGTCTACCCGAAACCATTTCAGGAAGAGCCAGGGCGGAGATCCGCAGCGATTTGTTTAGTGGGACTGTCCCCCACTGAGTTTCCCTTACCCAGCATTTGGCTCAAGTGGCATGAACAACAAGTGATTGAATCTGGCGACAGAAAACTCTATACAGTTGTGTTTCCCCAAACACCCACTAAAACAAGGACACTGACAAGTTTCTTGTATCATTTCCCATTCCTGCAGCCGCCTGCAGCTGCTTTCTCAGACTGTTGAAGAAAAAAAATGGACCCGCGCCTAAGGAGGCTGCCAAATGGAGGGCTGTTGAGGCGCCTATGACGCCGCCCCCAACAATGGCCACCTCACACCTGAGCAAGGTGCAGTAGGGAGGGCAGAGGTTGAGCGAGGGCAGATTTGTGTGGTGTAGACATGCAATTAAGGTGTGGAAAATAAACCTTTCCTTTCGGCATGTTGAAACCACCAAAGCTGTTTGGAGAACTTCTTTTAGGTTCCCCAAAGTGCTGACAGCAGAGTTTGGTTGTTGGACTTGACACATGACACATCGGTGTTCAATGCCTAGGGGTGCTTATTCAGGGCCTGCGAACTGGTCTGCTTTTTCCAGCCACGTGTCATGGACACCTAAAGCCAACTTTGCAGGCCTAAAGCCCCGCAGTTGTTGTGGGTACCCTGTTTACCAGGGAAAGCCGCTAGTTTTGGGCCACACAGAAGAGCAACGTAGACCTAAGTACCTATCATGCCCTCTCCCCGTCTCACGACTTCGCGACTGGCGCCCTCGCCTGGCAGCTGAAAAGCGCCGAGCCTCACAAAAGCCGAGGGCCCATCCCGAGTGCAACTCATTTCAGCTTCACTCGAATTGGAGGATTGCATTGGTGGCCACAGGAGCCAGCGGTTCAAATCCCCAAACCTCAAAACATTGCTCATGCTGTCTGTTATAAAAGCCCATAATTCGCGCTTCCCGAGGTTTCAAACGGCAATACGTTTGAAAAACCGAGCGGTGTTTATTCCCTGTAAATTTGCATAGTATCAAACCCTTCCGCATGAAGACCTTCCGAGCGCATGTTTCTATTTCTGGTGCTTCCGCCGGCCTTCCCCAGGCAAGTTGCCTCTGGAAACTGAGGAAGGTAGTTTCCGCGGGGGAATTTGTGCAGTTACCCAGAATCTGCAATCCGCGAAGCGCATACTCTAATCACTCCAATCCGTAAGCTAGCCGCGCAATCTGCAAACCGCTAAACGTTGGGTTTTGAACAAGCTAGCCAAATATTGCAAAGGAACCACTTCCATCCACGAAAGCTTGGTAGATTCACATAAATTGCTAGGGTACCACCAACTTGGGGGTCTTCCTTTGGATTCCCTTTTTCCCGACCCCAAACCAGGTTCTCCTGGGTTACCCTCCCAGAAAGACGCAGCCATTTCGTCCGCATGCTCAAATCCCTTGGGACAGCGCCAGCTGAAGGCTGGGAAGACGGCTCAAACGTCTAAGCCTCAGGAGGAAACAAGTTCCCCCTCCCCCCCACTCTCTGACCATTTCCCACGGGGTTCCTACGGATACATCCACACCCAGATCTACAAGGGGATCCTCATCAGCCAGCAAAGGTGATTCTTGATTGGCGCACATGTATCCTTTACCGGACCAATACAACAGTCCTTGCAAAGAAAGCCGCGAGTTCGACAACCAATTCCACCCACTGGGATTTGGCCTTGCAATTTCCTGCGTCTGTTCCCAGAGTTGTCAGAGGGCCAAAGAGGGGACCCCCAAAAGGCACCCAGGAAGAACCCAAAAGGAGCCCCAAATTAATACATCTTCTCAGCCGCTATTGGCCTCGAATTGGGAATAGCGGGCCCCAGGCCCATTTGCAGGGGCCCTGGACAAGCATAGCGCCTTTGGCTCTCCTGTCTGGTCTCTAAACCTTCTGCTCGATCAAGTCTCAGGCATCTTGCTCCGGCCTGGTGGCGTGAGTTGGCTCAGTGCGATTGAGATGGCATGGCTGTGGAAAATGCCTCTCTGTCATGCCCAAATGGGCCTTGTTCGGGACTAGATGGGCAATCGTGTCACAGACATCAGCCGGAGAAAGCTCCGCGATTTGGGTGTGCTTGCTTTACATCTTGGCTGATCTGCTGGGCCTGCTTAGCTTCCCCTTAACAAGATAAAACGCACAGCCCGAGCTGGCCTGCAAATACTTGTTTGGCAGTTTCGCAGAATGCTCAATGCGACTTGCGCAAAGACTTCGAGAGCCTCCAACACATTGAACCGACCGATCCATTTAGGATTGCCCCGCCAGCAGAAAGAAACCCCTCCAGAAGCCTGGCCTGGCCTGGGCCCAAGGATGCGTCAGCCAGAAATTCTCAGAACTGATCTCGAGCTTCTGGCACCAACATACGAAGAGTCCGTTTGGCAAGTTGGTGTCAGTTGAGGGAGGCGGTGCCATGCTTGTGAAAGCCAACCAAAAATGCTGGACCCAGGGTTTGTGACCCCAACCACACCTGAACTTGCTTTCGGAGTCTCGAGGGGCCTATGGATGCCAATCCTTGAGGAAGCTGGGCTTGTATGTAAGATGTTTGTCCCCCCCCCGTCAGTTTCCTCGTACCAAGATAAAACGCAGGTTGGGCTCACGTGCACCATAGCTTGTCGATGAAAGGATTCTCCCTTTGGATCGATCCGCAGGCCGCATACGTTTGAGCAAAGGACTGAAACGCTGCGGGACATGACAGCGTGCCAACACCCAGCAGGAGCGCTTTTGGGGCAGCTTCCAAAGGAGATCAATATGAAGCCAACCAATCCCCCCACCCGTTTTAGACACACACACACACACAGCAGGCCCACATCAAATCTCTGAAAAACCGCCCTACCCATGAAAAATGCGCGCAACAGAGCATGAAGGGTGGCCCCTGAAGAGCCGAAGGTTTTTGTGGGGATCATCCTCAAACCGACGGGTTGAGAAACACCTCAACATAGCACATGTCTCAATTAGTCAGAACAGAATCTTAGTTGGCTCCCTTTTGGAGCCAGACCCAATTTCCCCATCCCCAAGTGGCAGGTTTATGGGGGGTTAAGGACGTCCGGAACCCAAATAGCCCAATTTCCTAAAGTCATCCTAAATGAATCCCCCCGCAGTGCCACGGCGGGGTAAAAAGGCGGAGCCGCTAAATGTTGTGCCTGGTTTCTAACAGTTTGTGTAGCAACAGTGAACATATGGCCATGAGTTTCTGTGGGGAACCTGAATAAATCCTCCCTAAATGACCCGCAACTCAAATTTCATACCCATGTAGACAAGACACCTGCGGATCTGGCCGCAAACATGAGCGTGAAATCCTTTTTCAGCTTGCGTGGCGCTTTGTTTGGCACCTGAATTGGCCCTGATTGCAGATGCTCTTCGCTCAGCATGTCCAGTCCACTCAAGAGAGAAGGCAAACGGGAATGTGTCGACATGACCCCTAAATAGCATGCTCACCTGTAACTGGGTACGTTGCACGTGCTTTGCGCTGACAGTTGCGGTTTGCGTAAAAAAAAAACATGCAAAGGCTTCCTTGAGCGCGTGAGGCAGAGCGAATCGCGGTCAGATAAGCATCACTTAGTGCAACCCTGACTGCCTCGTGGTGGCACTTGCCTCCTGGCAAGCGATGGAACCTGAAGCTTCGGGATCTAAAATGCAATGTAGCGTCTCCTGGCAGGTAGAGGGCAACGTGTATGTCTGAAACACAACCCTTCCATGCTCGTCAAAAGGAGGCCGATCTCGCTCATGGAGATGTTGCTGCAAACTAATTGAGTCATGGCGCCTGACATGTGCTTTCCAGCGCTCGCAAATTCCAGAGCTACTGGTCAACAGTCAGACATGTTCAACGGACGGCAGCATTGATGCCCTTCACGTTGAAGCCATGAGGAAAATGCGCTTGGCGTTTCAGCCAAAGAAAATCAGCCAGGCGTTCACCAATTAGCACCGAGTCTGGCCTCAAAACCCAAGCTCAGAACTGAGCATCCCATTCTTGCGCCATGCAACAACCAAAAGCATGGGCCTCTCGCAACGAGGCCCGTGTTGCAAGAAGAAAACAAACCTGCGTTTTACCCCAAAATCGGCTTCCCCAGCTGCATGGGGGGAACTAGGTGTGAGCTGTTTGGGGCTACCCTTCTGCCGGTGGAAATGAATTTCCTGGTTTGAGGGATTCCTGATGTTTGCCCCAATGATATTGAGAACCACTGTGGGCACTGTCGTACTCCCTCCTTCAGAACGACTGTCGCCAGGCCCTTGGAATCGAACCAGAACCTTAAGTTCCAAACAAAACACGCCTTTCGGGCTTCTCTTTTACGCCTCAGCCAGCATCAGGTCAACATCATCAGCATCACCATCGCCGGACAAACAGGGTGGCCACATCCTGCCCTGCAAGGCATGAGTTGAGAGCCATGTCCAAGGCAACCAAAGGGATGATTAAAAGGATTCTGAGAACCTGTCTAGGGGGTCCAACAGCGCTGAGCATTCTCAGAGATCCAAAAACGGGCCCCTCGGATCTGGCGGCCTGCATCGCACCTTCACCCTGTCTCTAGCTCCACCAGTTGTGCTCAAACAAGTTAAACATAGGCCTCAGCTTGAACCTGATCCATGAGCTGACTAGACACAAGATCAAATAAATACAAGAGCGGCCCCTCTGTTTTTGGTTTGGGAATGCCCTCTGCAAATCCACCATCACTAGGGTTTTGATTTCAGCTCGGTCATCGAATTCCTCGACAGACCCCTAGATCAAACTCCTAAGTAGAAATATGACGGGCCTTAGGGCCTGGCCTGTGTCCCTCTCATTTACCCAAACCCCCCAGCAACTATGGGGCCCGAGCTCGTTTTGCTCCCGAATCGGTGAGCTCGTCACAACTTGTCCGAAGGAGTAATAAATATATAAGGGGCCAAATAGTTACAGGTGGCTGTCCTATCCTGAAGTAACTCGATTCAACAGTACCCCCAGAATGTTCTTACTGTTTAGGCCCTTATGGTATGTTTCTTCCTGGATTTCGGTGAGCTCCTCATAAGTTGCCAGGGGTTTGGTCCAGGGGTCGAATCGGTGAACCGTTGACTAAGCTCTGTGCCTCCAGTTACTCTGTGCAGGCTGAGAAGTGAGACGAATCCATTCACTGAAGCAGCTCATCGCTGATCCCGAGAGCTACCTGAAACAAGGCGCTCAAGTCAAAGGCTGCGTGGAACCATGTGCAAATGTCCTAAAACAAACCAAGATCCGACTTGACTTGGATCCTGCCGTTCCAGAGTAAAAACATATAATTCATTATATATAAATCATCACCCACCGAAAGAAACAAACATGGAGGATCATTGGATGTTCCCATGTCCGGGCCAAAAAACATCACCAACCAAAGGGCACTGCTGAGACATCACCACGAATTGCGCAAAGGTAATGCCTGCCAGCAACATTCTAACAGGGGGAAAACATCTTCGAGGTCTTGAACCCTTTTACAAGTCTGTGGGTTCCATGTGGAGTAGGAGGGCAAAGGTTAGATCCCTCCAACCAAAAAGCAAAGCAACCAGGCCCCCAAAAGGGCAAATGTCCAGATGCGGGGGCGTGTCAACAGTTTGCCAGCTAGCAGTGGCGGCCAGCTATCAACCCTCTCTGAAAAATGTGGGGCTGAATCGCCATCATTGTCTCGGGTCAACAATATTGTCACCGCACCTTGACGGGCGAAAGGAAGGCGACTTCTATCCTACTATGTATCCCGTTTCCCTGCCTGGTCAAAAGGAAACCAACAAGCCCTGAGAACCCCAATGTTGGACCCATGAAATAACCAAAGCGGGGGATCTGATCCTATTCCGAATTTTGAAAGGTAGCTTCGCCCAATGATACAACTGCACAAATGCTACCTTCAAGTTATGCCAGACCAGTCAAGTGCGTTACCGTCCAACCAAGCCCGTCCGAACTGACCTTGCGCTGAAGCCAAAGCCGCACCAGAAGTGTATCCATTGCTCCGTCGCACCAAACAAGACAAACGAACAGCAAACAAAACTGACTGGTCAAATCACGTCCAAAAGGGCAACCTTAACAACTCGTCGCACACACGCACACACACACACACACACTCAACGCCGATGCAACAAATCTTACTACCAGGACATCCAAGCCGCCTCTCGCTAGAGGCACCAACCCTGCCGTCCCAATTTGTTTTAAGGCGCCATGCCAGTGACAGCCACGGCAGAGACTGCCGCCACTGCAACGCGCGAGGAGAGGACGCGCTTTCCGTAGTGCCAAAGAAGTTCCACCGCCTCTTCAAGGAGGTCCTTGCGATGGGATGCTCGGGACTTGACGCGAAGAAACATAGGTGTTTGTACTTTTTTGTTCTCGAGGGGGCCCTTTGCAGTGGTTCAAAGGGAAACCAACAGGAAAACCACCATTGTTCACACATACCCACATTGATAAAACAAAGCTGACTACGCAAGGCATAAAGGTTGTAAAGAAATTGACAAGGGCAATCTGAGGGTTTGGGTATACGTAAGTAGTAAGGAGGTTCAACCTTAAAGAAATATACCTGCACCTATACCTGGGTGTGCCGGTAGGTATAGACTGACTTGTTACTCTGGAATTCGTGAACAACAATTTACTGAGAGCTTCGCCCCGGAGCGCGCAAGGAGCTGCACCACAAATGACTCTGGAGAGGTTGCGTGGCTGGTGAAGGCCCCTGTGCCTCTGGGGCGTGCCCCAATTCATTTGGGAAGTCCATCATGAGACCATCAGTTGCCGTGCCTTGCTTGAGACAGGCTTTTCCAGCTTTGGTTCCCACAAGGACTCAACCGTGAGACTCGTTTGTTGGAATATCCGCCGACCCCTTGTCTGCAAGGGCGAGGCGCACGGGAAGGGTGGCTACACATCTCGGGGGATCAAAGCTTGGTATTCCGGCTATCCAAAATGATCTCCAGCTGTAGAAACACTTCCGATATGCTACGTGTTGCTAAATGCCATCCACGACCAGCGTAGCCTTCAAGCCATTGTTTCAGGTTAGTTGGGTCGAGATGGGTCGTAATCATCAGCTCATGCTGCTCATCATCATCATCATCATCGTCATCGTCCTTACTTGCATTATCATCATGGTGCTCGTCATCATCATCATTATCGTCATCGTCCTTATCTCTTGTTGATACACTTTTCGAGTTTCCCGCTAGATCCGGTTTGAGATGCAGAAGATGCGTAGCATTGGTAATGCAGAGGATGCTACGATGATAGTTATCATCACCGTCATCATCCTTATCACCATCCTCATGGTCATCATCATCACCCTTATCATCATCATCATCATCATCATCAGGGTGGTCATCCTCGCCATTCATCATCATGATGGTTGTCATCATCTCTTTCTTTTTTGTAGACATTTCAATTGTGGCGTTAGGCACCATTGGTAATGC